AGATCAAAAAACTGAAGAGTGGCTGTAGGGCTTACAGCATTCACTGGTTGAATTCAAGCAACTGTTAACAAAGTTGGTTGTCTCAATTCAGCAAGTCTCATGCTATTTCTCACCTACCTTATAGATCCCACCACTGCACTTAATCTCCTTGCCATGACTCTCCCCAGAATCACAGGATGGTTTGGGTTGGAAGGGGACCTTGAAGATCATCTAGTTTCAACCCCTCTATTGTGAACAGGAATGCCTTCAGATAGACCAAGTTGCTCAGAAAACCCAGAAACCAAAAAGCCAGAGACGCTAAAAGGCAAAGTATTTTCAGTGTTACATCAAGGCCAAAGCAAAACCAAAACAGTGTCAAGGGAGATTTGAATTAGTTTTCTGTCCTTTTCATTTATTTGGTGTGTGAACACAGAGCAGCACAACCGTGTAACAGAGCTGGGTATAACATGTAAGGGAGCCTAATACCTCTGAGGCTGAGAAAATTACCACTCATTATGCTAAGTAATGCCTTATATCAGCATGTAAATAACTTTTCTTTGTAAGCAATCACCAAAGCATTCTCAACAGAAAATTAATATATCTGATTTGTTTATGTATTCACCTAATTTAGGGCAGAAAGATTTTTAAACTGAAACTAGTTATGGAAGTGTGTAACCAAAATTTTTCTGAGCCATGTATACAGATCCATTTATATTTATACTTATACAGACACACACACACACACACACACACACACAATTACATGTTCTGTCTCTGTGATAGGCTGAATCAGATAAGATGTTAAATATACAGTCCTGTGCTGTATATTACAAGACATTTCACACATCTTCCTATTTCTGGCAGCCATAGTTTTGATGGGAAATTAAAAGTTAATTTTTTTTTGTCCTTTTGTCTTTTTCCTTATCAGCTGTGCCTCCAAGGCATGCTAAAGTATTCTGGAAGTGACCTTCATTTTACTCATATCATCCTGACACAAGTGATTTAGCCTCCATACTTGTAGGAGTAAACATAAGAAACACCCACTGACTGACAAATATTTCATCAGAATTCAGCCATGTGTTTGTTCCTGGGTATGGGGGAAGGGTGTGAAAGATGATGACCTCATTTAGTGAGGCACCATCATTTAAGTTCACCACCAGTTTATGGATGCTACCACTACCTTTTGCACTCCAAACCTGTTTCTCTTTGTCTTTCTTTAAGGGTTGCTCTATTTTTTGGCCCATTCCACATGCAGCTGCCATGCACTGATGCTGCTGTGATTTCCCAGATGGACCCGCATCTTTTAATCAAACCTGACTCGGACAAGGATTTTTCCATTTTCAAACCTACTCCCAGATCAAGCAGGCAAGCAAATTTTGAATGCTTAAACATATAGGGGCTAGACAAATAATGTAGGGAAGAGCACAGCCATGCATCCAGCTCTGCTGGGACTTGTTTTTTCCAGGACAGCAGTGGCACCACTGGTGACAATTGCCAAAAACTCTGAGCCATTAAATCCAGTGGGGAAATCTGTGCTCTCAGCTACTTTCATATAGAAATCCTTTGTTGGACTGGGGTCTGGAGGGCAGTGGAAACAGCTTTCAATACATTAATTACTTGTGACTTGCAATTGTGAGGTAGTGGTGGTAGCTTAATAGATACAGTACAAATGTGAAAAGCAACAGAGATGGAAAAAAATTGATGGAGATAAGGGCTTTAGTTATTGACTGGGAAAAAAACTTAAGGAAACAAAAATCTGGCATGTAGCAATAAACTGAGTCAAACAGGCTCTTGAAGACACAGGACAAGTTTTTTTCTGAAAGAATTTAATACTTGAAGCATCAGAGAATATGTTCTGGGTTTTACAAAACAGATGTCACAGGATTATCAAGAAAGGTGATTTCAGCAGTACCGTATCACATAGACCTGGGCTAGAACACCATGTGAAAAAGTGAGAGACTATTATGGCAGACACAGTAAAGGCCATGAGGTTACAGATACAGAAGGAAGAACACATGCACTGGAGATGCTTTATGAGTGCTTTTGGTATAGTCTCGAAAAAATAGAGTATATATAAAAAATAATGAAAAAAACACCTCAGAGACACCACATTCCAGAGAAGCTTAAGACAGCACTCAAACAGCAACCAAAGGAAAACTCAGCTTTGACTGCATATGACACCACAAACATTTGTCTGTGTAAGGTGAGGGCACACACACCCCCCCACTCCTGGGCCAAGAGCTGCTACAGAACTCATCTGCATGGCATAAAAATTACTGCATTTTTGAAAGAACTTCACCATGCCCACAGGAGAGTGGGCAGTAGCTTGGTGATGGGCAGAATTTGGCTTGGTGATTTACTGTGCTGCTCACAGCTGCCCCATGATGTGCCACATCTCTATGCATTACCTCCTATGCTGAGTCCACAGCAGACAAAACCTAACCCAGCTGGAAGTGCCTGTTCACTCCTGGCTCAGCAAGATGCCCCAGGTGACTCCCTGGACAAGGAGACAAAGCACAAACCTTACAGAATTGACCCACTGCTCATTTAAAGTCTGTCTCCTCTTTGCTAAAAGGATCTCCCATCTTCTGCTGAAAGCTTTGAGAGAGGGTGCAGGGTTCACCTCTCTCTCAAAAATACCTCGTCATGCAGCACCTTTCTGTCACATACAACAGAAAAGAAAAATCATGTAGGTTCATGAGAACCTCTCTTTCTGACTCACTTTTACCCACTGCCCGGCCTTTGCATGCTGGTGTGGATCTTGAAAAGCTATTCTCATTTTCACTTCAGATCTATGTTTTGACTCAACACCAGCAGAAAAATAGGTCACAGAAAAATGACCTGGATACTCAACTACTTAAAGGAGATTTCTCACTGAAGTTTAGGGGACAAAAAAAATTAGATACTGGCAATTTAAAATAAAATAAAAATTAAAGAAATCCTCCAAACGGCAGGAGCTATTGGGGACCTGTTACAACAAAACTGATACAAGAAAAATCAGATTACTTGGATTTACATTTAGTTTAGCACACTTTGAATGCAGATCTACCATAGAAGGGAAACATTTTCATTGCAAAATGCAATGACAGTTTTACCATTCAACAATATTACATGTGGGTTTTTATCAAGGAAAAAAAAAACCACCTTGTGAAAAACGTATTTTGAAGAGGTTATACCTACCAAAGCCATCTCTTCCAGTATGGTGAGAACAGGATTTATGGCCTGGCCACACAGATACAGCAGTTAGGAACATGAGTAAACTTCATGAACTCAAATGAGATTGCACAACAGCTTAAAGACATGAGGCTAAATCAGTTGACCCCTAGAAAACCTGAATTCTTTGGTTGCAAAGCCTCTTGTTACTATTTGGACATACTTAGAAAGAAACAAGAAGCCCTAGCAACAAATCCATCAGGTATGTAGGTGCCATGTCAGAGAGCATAAGGATGTAATTCAATCCTGCTGCAAGGACCAGCATATCAGAAAGCAAGGATGTGGAAGTGACTTCCCAAATCAGGGCACAGAGTGTGCACACAGAGCCACTTGGTGCTCCAACACACAGCTGCTCTGGGAACACCTCTGTGCTTGTGTGTGCCCTCCCCATCAACACAGACAGGTCTCCTGCAGCAACAGGAAATGTCAGGAGAAGGAATCAAGTTGGAGTTTGGGGATTGTTTGTTTGTTTTTAAAACTCAAACTCAGTCTTGGCTTTGTGTACTTGAACCAGAATGCAATTTCTATTAATCCAGTTAGGGATCAAAACCAGAGCCTGTAACTAATCTGTGTAATTTAACTTGTAGCTTTAGTTTTGAATATTATATTCCTCCAACTTGTTTGCAGAAATTGTTTAGCAAATCCTTCTATGTAGCACATAAATCAAACTGAAGTGGAAGCAAAACTAATGAAGGACTAAGAGGCAACAAATTAGTCACTGAGCTCTATCCAGTGCCCTCTCCCCAACACAACAAAGTACTGCATATGAATAATGGTGATACTTCTTTCTGCTCCCCTTGTTTTGTCTTCTTTTCAGGGAGAGGTTTGGTTGATATGCCATCGTCTCACTAGTTAAAACATCTTTAATCGCATTATATCTACATTTTATGTGTAGATGTCTCTTAAATATAAGAACATACAAACACACACTCTGTATTTTCACCTCCATTTTGAAGACATCATCTAAGAATTATTATTTTTCAAGCACTTGAATTTCTGAATGGTTTCTTTTCCTTTCTCTGACACCTGACACATTCCTGAAAGGTTTATGCTTTGTAAAGGGCCAATGCAACTGCAAAAGCTATAATTTAAAATATTTTGACATATATGTAACGCTCAAATTCAACTCAATTGGATCCGAAAATTTCATATCGACTACTTTAGGAATTACTTTTAAAAATTAGATTTATATGTGAAAGAGATGAATAAATTATATTTAAAAGCTCATCTAACACATTAAAAAATAATAGCTAACTTTATTGAAAAATCATATTTACAGCCCATGTAATAGATTAAAAATTCCAACCACCCTTATTAATGCTTTTAGTCCTTCTACCTAGTTTTTCCTCTTTCTTCCATGTTCCTTACACTTGCTTTACTCTTTGCATCTGTGCTTCTTTTGCCTCTTGCTGAACTAATTCTGCATACCTCCATACATTAAAATTGTCCTTCTTAAAAGCCTTCTCTTCTTGCTTCCCTCTATCTTTTGAACAATTTTCAGCCTTTTTTCCTTGTCTTGTGTGGTCTCTCCCAGGTTAGGGACCAGCCTGGGATGGTCTTGCACAGGATGAGCCCCCTCGCAGCCCTGTGGTGCAGGTGGTGCCTGCAGGGTGCCCTGGCCATGCTGCTGCCAGCCCTCCAGGCTGGCTTTGGCTCAGGAGCACCAGCTGCACCCACTGCTTTCCTTCTGCACATGGGCAGGGAAGGAGCCCTTCCGCTCGACCCAAGAAAGAGGAGGAATGTTGTGAGGGATGATGCTGTGGACTACCCCAGCCCTGCAGACACAAGAGTTGAGTCTCAGGCTCCAATTTCAATATTTATTCTTGCACTCCTTGCCTTGCTTTATCTCTGGTTTAATTTTCTCTTCACAGACCATTTCTGCTCCTCACGTATTGTCTCACAAAAAGGCACAAGCTTCAGCAGCAGCTTTAAGCTGCAATCCCTCTGTTATTTCATGACCTGCAGGAACACAGGGAGCATCCTTCCCTGGCCTCTTGGAGAGGGACTCGTCTGCCCCAGAGCCTGGCACACATTTCACACATGAGGAGGATTTCAGAAACTCCTGGGGCGTGCTCACAAAGAGGTGGTTGTGCTCACCTCAGCTCTGAGACCACAAACACCACCGGTTCAATGACGCTGTCTCCACTTTGAAGGGATACAGAGACACCAGCAGTGGCACTTCCCTACTGAGCTGAATCCTTGTGGAGATGTGCCCGTTTTGCAAAATGTTGCCTGGAACTGGGCTGAGGAGGTAAACCCCTCAGCTTCAGGCTGACCAGAATCCAGTATGCTGTTCCTTGTCTCCAGCCCTCGCAGTAAAAGCTCTCGTACCCTTGCAGGTGGTGTTTGCCACATTGGCTCTGTAGGCAAGAGCCTCCAGTGGCAGTTTCCACACACACAAGCAGAAGCTGGGAGCACTAAGCCAGAGGACTGTCCTCATGCTCAGCCTCAATGAAAGCCCTGCTAGTTTGTCTATTTATGGCATGTCCAAGTCACCCATCACCATGGCAGCTAAGCACAGGGGAAAACGCTGCAGAGTGGAGCAGATCAGACAGCAGCACCTGTAAGACATAACCACAAGACTCGATGTCACATCCTCCCCTGGCTGCTGCCGTGACCCAGTTATGATTTCTACCTGAAAGCTGTGCACTACGGAAAAGTTTTATTTATTAACATAGCCAAACTATGCTCTTCAAAGGTCTTACACCAGCAATACAGGAAGCCAGAACATAAAAGCAGGCCAGGAGAAGGCGAAACAATATTCAAACTAAAATAGAAAACAAATGTCATTAAAATTAACATCGCAAAATACACTGCAGTGAGCCAAGCTAAGAAGAATGCATTCAGTGTACACCGTGCCTCAAGCAACTTCAAAGGGGGAAAAATAACACATTTAAAGCATATACAGAAGCAGCTCAGGTTTGTCATCAGCACAGAAAACTGAAGAGTGTGAATTTGGTCCAAAATCAAAACCACAGGTCAGAAGGCAGGTGCTCTCATGAGGAAGACAAATACCCTGAGAGTTTTCAGCCTCCTTCCAGCTTATTGACTCACGTTACATTTCTTCCTCCTTTTATATGCATTGACATTACATCAACAAAAATTAAACATGTTACTAATACTTAATATTTTCTTTGGCCATTTCCATGATCTGACATCCAGACACTATTGAGTACAGAACTGTAGTGACTCATTTCTGTAAGAATCAGCACCTGTGGCCAAAGAGGGAAACACCACCATATGTGAACAAACGAATCAGAAGTGCCTTCTTGAAGGTTTCCTGAAAATGACCAAAGTCTAAAACTAAATGAGGGTTTTCTTTTTTTGGTGGGACTGACCTTTTCCCCATGCAGTAGATAAAGAGAGTGATCTCTGTTCATCACACATCCTTATAAAATTTGGGAAAGACATAGCATATGAAACCTGAGGTGCCAAAGGTCCAGGGTGGTTTCTACAGTCTGTGACACTCCAGTCTCCTAAGCAAATCTGTCAGACTGGCACTCCCTGCCCAAAGTAGCTACATGTCTTTGGACACAAGCAGAAGATATCCTAACCCTGATCAACCCCTCTTTCTGCCTCTCTTACTAGGAAAAGGGATTAACTGGTGGGATAATCAGACATTGTTTACTCCCCCAGAGCTATGCAGAAAAGATTAAGGCCAAACCCCCATGGCAGGGGGGTTGGAACTAGATGAACTTCAAGGTCCCATTCCGTGATTCTGTGAAGGCTTTAGTAAGTGGGAACCTAAAGTTAGTAAGCCCATACTGAGGCACTTAAATGATCTGATTTTTTTTTCTTTTTTTAAACCACTGATCTCCCTGTAACTCTGTGAATGAATACCCTCTGATAATCCAACCTTTATATGTCTTGAGCTAAGATTAAAAGTGTTATTTAAGTAAGAAAATTATCCTCTGGAAAAATTTAGTTTGGAAAAAGGTAAGAATAGACAATAGCACTCCTATAATACCAACTGAGTCAAAACTCCAAGCAAAGCAAAGGAGCAAGGAGAAAGAACAGTGAAATAATAAATGCAGTTGCTTCTTCTATTTGCAGATTAATAATTCAAGACCTATATTTATTTATTCATACTAATTGACCAAAGAAGTTATGCTGTGGAATAGCTGAAGAGAAACTAATTGCTGTCTCATTTTATTTTAATAGTATATTAAAACGCAGGCTAGACTGGAGACCTCTTCTCGACTTGTGCTGATGTTATCTGCCCTGAGACACTGGCAACTGGCCAGGGACTTGCCTACACTGATATTTAGGGCTAACCTTAGGAGTCAGATTAGGTGATTGTGCCTTTGGCTATAATGGACCACAAATGTGAAGCTCATTTCTTTTTGAGATCAATCTTTCCTCCTTTTCTTTTTTTTTTTTTTCCCCACTTAAGTTGTGTTATCATTTGTTCAGCCTGTGCAAAGGGCCCTTAAAGTAGATGTAAATGAATTTTGCAAAACCCACACAGGAGCCCTTAATACCATTGGAATAATTGGGGTTTAACTGCAGTGAATCCTGCAGCACACTAAATACAGGCATTCCCAAGCCTTTCTACAGGCTCATGACTAACACTCCCACAAGAAAAATGAGACAAAAGAAGTGCAACACTCATTCTGCCATAGAGCACTCTGTCAGTTCCTGCTCCTTCAGTGTTTTCCCCATGCAATTTCCATGCTCTCCTGGTAACTACATTGATGGCACTCACTTTGGTGTGGAGAGGCATTTTTTTCTTCTCCCTCCTTGCCCTCAGGTCTGGGACCACTCAACCCACCCTTCCCATCTCCCACCCCTGCCCAGCTCCTGCATGTCCCCAGCCTCTTGCATTGGCAGGAAGGCTGCTACTATGGCTGATGGAGGAGACCTCATGCACAGCAGCTCTTGTGCCCAGGGGCATCACCCCTGCTGCCACAGCACGAGGGGGAGCAGCACAGCAGGCAGAAGGACAGAGCCACAGTCCCTGCACCACAGGCCTAGGCACAGGAGCCTCCAAGCCACGCCAAAAACCTGACAGTGCTCCAGTATCCCATCTCAGACGTGTTTGTAGTTGTGCTGTTACGGGTACCCCACACAAAGCCCCCCCCACCAGAGCAGCACACGCAGGGCACCATCAGCAGCACACGGTGGGACAGGAAAGTCCCCCTGCATTCAGAGCCCAGCATTTAGGCTGGTTCACCCCACACAGCCAAACAAGAAACAACTGAAATGGAGCCCTGGCAATTTACATACCCTTTGCATAGATACAAATAAGCTCAGAAGGTGAAAGGCAACAGAGGAGCAGGTCCTTTGAGTGCAGATGCTTTCATCTTGGAGTTTGCTAAGGACAGATGTAAAGGCAGCTTACAATCCCAGTTGTGCACATTCCTCCTTTGAAGCTCTGCCCCTCTCCCAGCCCAAACTTTGCCATTTAGCACTCTCATTACCTTGTAAGGTCTGCTCCTCCCTTCAGCATTTTGTCCCTCTGCAGAACAGCAAGCTGTTTCCCTCCCTTCCCAGGAATCTTAATTAACACACTTTTTTTGCTCTGTGTCTGTTTCCCCCACACACTCCTTCAGACATACCAATAGCTTCACTCAGGTTTGTTTCAATGCTTTCAAAGTTATCTTTAATTGCATTTTTGTTTTGCTTAGGTCACAAGCTGACCTTCACACAAAACATAGCGTGCATCAGAATTTGAGGGCTTGTTTTGTCTGCACAGGTTAACATGCAGAGCTACACCTGTACTGCTAATTTGGACAGAGATGGCACTGGCTCTTTTAAACAATGATGATTCCATACTTACAATAATCTAGTAACAGCTTTCATTCCTCTGAACATATTAACATGATGCCAAATCTTCCTATCATCTTTCTAGACGTAATACTTTGTTGACTGACCCAAAAAGGCTTTCCTGATTCTTCATCATTTGATTTCCTCCTAGCCAGCGCATTCACATCAATTCAAAAGACCACTCCACTAGGAGAGCATATAATAATTTAGAGATGGAGGAACCTCTTCCTGTTTCAGGTCTGGATGGAACCTGAGGGAGGATGGATGGATGGACACAGACTAAGCATGTTCCACCACTCTGAATTTGAGCTTGCCAGCTCAGCAAGCAGGCAGAACAAGTGCAGGACAGCTTGTACAGTCACATAAACTTGCTTTCACACATATCTTATCACCCTTTTGTTTTTAACACACATCTTGTTGCTTTTCTCCTTTGACCTCCGGGAGCCTTAGCAACCTTCCCTGGGAATTACTCTACTGGGAGCAGAGAGTTGCCACCTCTGCCTCTGGAGCCCTGTGTTATCTCCCTTCTGATACCAGCAATGGGGTGAAGACTCTGGAAATTCATCCAGGAGGCAAATAAATAACCTAAAATCCCTCTGACTTACAAATTGTGCTCAAAACCATGGCAAGAGCTCTCCCCCAGGACCCAAAATGAACACTGAGTGGGGCCAAGGAGGAGCTGGGGAGCAGCTCTGTGCCCTCCCCTGGGTTGTGCCCAGCTGACAAATGAGACCTTGACTCCCAAGTCCTTGTAAAATCAGCCAACAAAAACAAGTTATTAGGGGTGTATTTGGTCACAGAAAGCAGATTACAAATTACCCACATGCAGCACTTGGAAACAAGATTATTTGTGACATAACAGATTGTCACTGTTGTAATCCAGAGCCTGTAAACACTTGTTAGTCGTCCACAGGCAAATGCAAATCTGTGCCAGTGTAGCTGTTTTTAGGTAGAGGTGATCTTGAAATACCAGATGCTAACATCTGAACCCTTTTCTGTGCCACTAATACTGTTCCCTGAATGTTTTCCCTGCTGACCTTAACCCAAATGTTGCCTGCATCTTCAATGGCCCTAAGACTGCATCTTTGGGGAATTCTTTTATAAATCAAAATTAGGCATTATATTATTAAGTGGAATTTTAGAGAGGAAAAATTATTTCTGAAGTCATATTAAGTAGACTTCATTAACCTGTCCTTAGTTCCAAGAACCTGTTGACTATATTGTTAAATGATCTAAAAAATTAGTAATTAAAGTCAGACATCAACATTTTACAACTGGCACATAAGGCATCTTCAAACAGTTGTTCCACCACCTCATTCCCAAATGAATATCTTTCAAGGGCTGACTGATTGCAGGGCGGCATCTCAGGATTGTGACAAATTGCAGATTCACACATCAACAGCAAACCCCTGCAGAGCACCCAACTTTCCAAGGCATCCTGCAAAGCTGAACGTGAAGCCAGGATGGATGCACGGACACTGTGCCACGGGGATCTAAGCAACAGTTTCCCTGCAAGGGTTTTGGACTGGCAGCTGTGCAAACACAGACATTTTCCCTTAAAGAAGGCACACCAGAGCCAAGGCAACGAGGGGCTCTGCAGGGCAACACAACACAGCCATGGAGGGGATAATGGTATCTGTTCAGGAAAACAGATATTACTAGGTTATGAAAGTGGTGAGGTGGGAATCAAAGGCTGCTAACCAAGGCTTTGGTACTTACTCATTATGAAAATAGGACAGCAGCAACACTGCTGAAGACATTTTCCAGCAATCACTCTGTGCCCTAACCCACACATTGCCCAGATGTCTCTTGGGAACAGAAGATTCCAGCAATCTGATAAATGAAGAGCTGGTTCCTGCTCAACTCACAGCACCACACTCAGGCCCAGCACCCTGAGAACGGCAGCTCTTGCTTGTGTTTTCATTATTCAGGCTTTATGGAAAATTTTGCATGACACCAAAGAGAATGTAGGAACATGAGAATTATGTTTTTAATCCATGATTAAGTCACAGTGAAACACTTCTGCATTTGCAGAAGTAATGGGCCATGAGAAAAGGTCTCCTGTACAAGTCCCTGAAAAGGCTGGATAAAATCCTTCTGTCTCAGAGATTCTGGCACTGAGTTATCCTCAAAAGTAGTGTGAGCAGAGTGAAGGGTCATAGGAGGTAACTCCAAAACAAGAGTACATACATGTTCTGCTGTACCAACTGCTGCCTTGAGAGACAAGGCACTACACCTGTGTTCTTACAAGGAATTTCTCATTTACTTGCTTGATACTAGTTTTAATATATTTGTAAAGCACGAAGAAGCAGTAGTAACCCATTGTAGGGAACAATAAAATACTTAAATTGCATGCCAGGTTTTTGGATAATGCACCTATATGTCACTTTGGATCTCATATCACACCAGCTCAAGGAAAGTTCAAATTTTGTAAATGAGTATTTCTTATTTTTCAGAGCACACAACACAACTGATGCCACCCGAAAGCAGATCAGCAAGGAATAAATTTTTCAGCCACCTGAAAGTTTTCCTCCTGAGCTCATTGTTTCTTGGCCCAGCCCCTGGTAGCAGATGCCAGGAGCCTCACGGGGCCAGCGAGGTGTCCGAGGGGTGCCGTGACACACGCCTGGCCCTCTCTGCAGGGGCAGCTGGGTGGCTCTTTCTGCAGCTGAGCCAGGGCAGGACCTTTCTGCTGCTGCCCAAGGATTCCCCTCCGCTGGGAGGTTCCTCCCAGGGCCAGGCTGGCTGGCAGCATCAGGAAACAGTCCCAACGTGCTGTGAAACGAGGGCCGTAATATGTTAATGTGAAGACTTTTTCCAAGTAATCTTTACCATCTGTTGTCTCACACTGATGTTAGTATTAATAATTTATAGACCTTCTCCTAAGGCTGAGGAGGAAGCAGAATGCTAAGCTCTAAGACAGAGACAGTATCCTTTTTTCTTTTTTTTTTTAAATGAGATTGATGTTGCTTCATACGACTGCCTTGCCCAGGGAATATATGGTGCTCTTCAGCTTTCTGCTGCTGTTGCTTTTGTAAGCCTTTTACTGAAAATAGCAGTGGCAAGATATTTATTTTAGTCCATTCCTCTGTTGCTTCTTTCCTTCTAAAATAAGGCATGCATCCTATCTGGTACATAAGCAAAGTGCACGTAAAGGTCAGAGGCAAAGCATAAGCTGACATTGTAAGTCGCATTATAGGATGCAGTCACTGCCAGGCAAGAGCAGGCAGGGTTCCTTCTTGTGCTTTCCGAGGCACTGTTAGGCTGAAGGAGCACAGTTGTGCTACCAGTTTAAGCCAGCAGAATCTCCTTGCTATATTTAACCTTGATTTCCTCAGAGACCAAATATGCAAATGACAAAATGCGATGCACAGCAAACACTGCTTTCATAAGGGAGGGCTAAGTTATAGTCCCAAACAATCAAATCAGCCTTTCCTACTCACACGGCTTCACTTTAATCCCTTATTAACAGGATTAATAGCAGACTTACAGTTCATACCATCTTACTCCCCTTTTACACAAACCAATCTAGCTGCTTTCACAGAGGGACAGGTGGATTAATAGTCTTAGTCAAAAACTATGGTGATAATGCAGAAAATTGGCCGAAGGGAGGGATTCCAGGGTGAAAACGGACAGCTGGAAGATTGCTATCACAGCCATGCAGTGACTTCACCCGCAGATAGAAATGTGAAATGCGTGGGAGACCCTTCTGCTTCTAAATTGAAAAGCAAAACAAACCCCCTGAAAGATAAACAAGTACAGTAAAGGAATAAGTCTCTCTATTAATAAATGCTTACCAGAGGATAAACAAGTAAAGGGATAAAGAACCTGTGAAGCTCAGAAATGTGGAGGCATTCGCCGAAACATAACTCCGCTAAGAAACGCAAAGCTCAGACAGACTGTTATACAATCTTTGATTTCTTTTAATAACACTTGAAGGTCAGATGCCACAGCTCTTCCTGGAAATCCTAAAAAGACTGGGTGGCTCCCCAAGTTAGAAAGGAACTGCCACATCGTATGTTGTGCAACACAGAGCTGTTGGCTGAGGTGTATTACATTACCTCCACCAGCTGACTCAGCCCCAGCTGTTATAAAGGGCTTTGGTACCCGGGCGAGCAGCACGTAGCAGTCACACGCCCAGGGCTGCCGGACCCCGGGCTGGGGCTGGCCAAGGTCGGGGGGTCAGGCTGGTTGAGCCCGGCACCCCCAGCGCAGGGCTCCGCTGGGTTACCCGAGTTCACAGCCAGCTTCTGCCGGGCAGCGGCTCTGCTTACTCATTACGGGATCAGCAGGGCTCTGTCTGGGGAGGAAAAGTTAACCCTTCCCCCGCTCCGTGCAGCCAAGAAAAGGTCCTTAAAAACAGCCCCGGGAAGCCCAGGCTGGGGGAGCCGGCGGGGCTGGGCTGGTGCTGGGGTAGCTGTGCTGATTAGAAAGGGATGGTGGAGGTATGGGGGGAAAGAGAGGCTATTCCCCAGGAATTAGAATTTAGAATTCCCCAGGAAATTCTAAAAAAGCAGGAGAAATGACACCTGCAGCCAGTTTTCATGCAACCAATGAATCCCTCATTCGCGACATTACATTAATGCAATCAGGGATAAGGTAGGGGTGCACACTGTGGGGTAAAGCACGTTTCTCACCATGACCCAACCTGGGTGTCAGTCCACTAAGATGCCTGTGCCCATGTTTTCACTCTCAGTTTCACCAGTGTTCATGAAATTATGGCAAATCTCATAATGACACTTTTTCCCTAATAATTCAGACTTTTACTGTCCAGACCCCAGCTGGAGTCTTGCATCCAGCTCTGGCTCCCCAGCATGAGCAGGACATGGACCTGCAGGAGCGAGTCCTGAGGAGGCACAAAGCTGGTCAGAGGGCTGGCACATCCCTCCTGTGGAGAGGCTGAGAGAGGTTGGCTTGTTCAGCCTGGAGAAGAGAAGGTGTTGAGGAGAACTCAGAGCCCCTTCCAGTGCATAACAGGTGCTGAGGCCCTGGCACAGGCTGCCCAGAGGAGCTGGGGATGCTCCATCCCTGGGAGTGTTCAGTGCCAGGTTGGATGGAGCTCTGAGCACCCTGGGATAGTGGAAGGTGTCCCTGCCCATGGCAGGGAGGTTGCAATGAGATGATCTTTAAGGTCCCTTCAAACCCAAAGCCATTCTGTGATTCTGTGTGAAAACATAGAAAACATTTTTAGCTGGCACATCCCTCCTGTGGAGAGGCTGAGAGAGGTTGGCTTGTTCAGCCTGGAGAAGAGAAGGTGTTGAGGAGAACTCAGAGCCCCTTCCAGTGCATAACAGGTGCTGAGGCCCTGGCACAGGCTGCCCAGAGGAGCTGGGGATGCTCCATCCCTGGGAGTGTTCAGTGCCAGGTTGGATGGAGCTCTGAGCACCCTGGGATAGTGGAAGGTGTCCCTGCCCATGGCAGGGAGGTTGCAATGAGATGATCTTTAAGGTCCCTTCAAAGCCATTCTGTGATTCTATGTGAAAACATAGAAAACATTTTTAAGATAACTTCCAGTGCTTGTGGCCTCACCTTTTAGAGCCCATAATCAAGATTAAAGTAAAAAAAACTCCAAAATATGTGTGTGGGGGGGAATTATTGTTGGTGCCTCACAGCCCTGTTAGGCAGTAGTATGATTTCCTGGTAATGACATCCTAATTTACGGCTTCTGAAGTTAGAAGTCATCTAATATATCATCACAGCCCACTAAGAGATATTAAGTTGGTTTTATTTGGTACTTAAAACCAAAATAAAAATATTTCTGCAGTATAATAAAAAGTGCAATTCTCCCTTTTCCACCAAGTCAAAATCCTCTGTAAAGAAAATAGTTTCATTCTATCACAGAGAACAGATGGTGAATAGCAGGTATGCAAACTGTTCATTCTACTCTTCTTTATTTCACCTTCCACTGTAATTATATTTCATGCCAGATTCCAAATGAAGTATTGAATTCAAAGATCAGAATTTGGTAGAGATTAATTTTGCAAAGCTTTAAACATTAGTTCAATTTTGTGACATTTTGAGTGTAATTAATACACATCTCAAAGTGTGCCAGATACTTAGAGGTACATCAAAAAATATAAAGATCTTATCATAGTTTATACAATGAAAAATTCTCAAATAAACAATGAAATATAAGTAAAAAAGCAGTGAAGTTTGCTTGCATCTGGCTAATGCCTCCATTAATCTTCATTAGTAATTTCTAATATTAAGAGCAGGGAAGGTAGGATTTATAGCTCTTTTCAAAGAAGAGCCAACAGAAATTAGTTGGATTGGGCCAGTGGATCAGTACCAAGAAGAGAGGAAGAAAAGATAGGACAGAGCCTTTAAAAGTGGCAAATGAAGGATTTCTGCAGATGAAGTGTACTAGAAGGAGATACAGAAAGACATTAAGGTGTGCATGTCCATGAAGGCAAGAAGGAAAAAAAATCAAATTTTGTAGGAAGGTCAGCAAAAGAACTTGAAGAAGAATGGGATTTGATCCAATAGAGAGGTAAGATACAAATCAGCTTAGGAAAAATATCAGGAGCCAAAAGAGAATGTGTTGCTTATCTATAACTTTTGAAGTCTGGTATATTTGTTTGTGGGAGATTGTATAGAAAATACAATTGTGTGAATTTTAAGACTGAATGGCAGTGGGAAAAGCTGGATAAGAAACGGTAAGTCAGAAAAAGAGGATATACTTACAAGCTTAAAGAGCATCAAGGAAGAGAAGGAACTTTAAAGTGCTTGAGTTTCAGTTTGCTGGCATGTGGTTTTCCTTCTGCAGAGGGATCTTGAGGAAGTTCAGCTGGTGAGGGAAAGGCAAGCTGTGAGCAAAGCAGAGTGGAAATGAAGAAGTTAAATCGCTGAGTTTGTAACGGGTAGTTGAAGATGTGGAAGTGTGTCATGACATGGGAATGGAGGAAAACAAGAAGCGTATGGCATTTCTGAAAGCTGGAGAACAGGTGGTTTTCAGGAAGGGAGGGTGTGCAGTCACCCTACAACGGAAGGGAGGATGAACTTGCTGGTGACTTTCCTGGCACTGCTGTAAGCCATTTCTATGGACAAGGGGGAAAAGAAAGCAGATTTTACAGGGGGAGAAGGGGGAGAGAGAATTGACTGAGTAGGGCCACAACAAATGAGATTGTGGTTTTCTCTAACTTTTTTTTTTTTAACATGTTTAAGACATATGGAGGCGAAGAAAGGAAGCATATGGAGAGGCACTTGAAAATGGGGCTGGGGTCAAGAGAAATGGTAGGGGAAACAATAACATGTTTCAGAAGCAGAGAAGGATGGTTGAAGATGTCTCATTGTTTCTTCATGTTCCTCCATCTGCCAATATCCATCTGTTGGTTTTTTGTTGTATGCTCAAATGTCAACTCCAGTAACTGTTTAATGTCAAGTGGATAATCGTGTCTGTGTCCCTTTCTCAATGATTTTTGGAGGGATATAGAAACTATATCTTCCACACAGCACTGGAAGGGTGGGAAGGAAGGATCCATCCACTTGTTCTCTGCAGCCTAGAGGTTGTTGATTAAAAGATGCTGTTCTGGGAAGCAGAAAAGGTCAGATGTGAATCCATAAACCTGAGAAGGCCCCTGAACTTGTGAAGGGGGCACCCTGAAGCCCATTGAAGTGCTTAACCCCGTTCTATAAAAGGCACTGATATCATCACCAAATCCTAAAGGAAAAGTGTAACAGGAGAATCTGCCCTGGGGAAGATATTCCCCAACTCCCTGTGGGCTGGAGCTTGGTGCCAAGCTCATCCAGGAGGTGAGATGCTGAAGACACCAGTTCTTGATGTCTCTCCACATCTGTTTCTCTTCTGGGTGCCCTGGCTGCTTTTGAAGACAGCAAAGTGATTTTGTGGTGGTTTGTGAACCCAGGTGGAGAAAAGCATCACCACTGGCTGTCCATCTCCTGCCCTGGCTGCAGGTCACCTCTTGCACTGCAGAGGTGGCTTGTGAGTGTGTGTGCTGGCTAGTTGAGGAGAAGGGACACCTTTTTGTGGGAGACAGGTAGGGGAGCAGAGCAGGCAGAGGATGGTGATGTGCAGTGCAGCCCCACTGTGATCCACTGGAACCGCTTGCTTCTCCCACAAGTTGCAGGAGCAAGAAAGGCACCCTGTTGCTGGTGCCTTGGCTTTTCTCTGTCAGGCAGGCACTTGCCCACCTTCAGGAGTCACTACGCTGTGGCAAAGTAAGAGATGAGCCCCTGCATCACCATCTCCTGGCAATGACCCACTGGGAATACCCGCCCCAGCAGTCATTTTCCCTCTTGGCAAAACTCAGCGGTCAGAGCAGCCCAGAGCTGAGTCAGTCTTTCCCAGGTCACCGGGAATCAGTCCCTGCCTGCTGCATCCCCAGTCCTCAGTGACATATCCGTAATTATGATTTTCACTCTTATGTTCATGATATTAGTATTTTTCTTGCTCTAGACAAGACTCCTACTCTTCGTTCATGCATGAGCCTGTCATGCTATACAATTACAGTGGAGTCAGGGCCTGATCTGTACTATAATTATAACTGAGTCAGTTACAACAGGCTTGTCTCCTGACCTGCTTCCAAAATAGCCCCATATTTTTTAAAGCAAATGGGATTTTAGGTGTATTCTTCAACGACGTTAATGCACTACTCTCGTCTTGGATTTAAACCGGGCTCATTTCTGATAAAACAACCCTTTTTTTAGCATAAGCAGGAAATGGTCCAAACTGGCTGTTCATTTGCATTCACTGTCAGCTTCAAGCACCCTCTCTGAATGTCAGATATTTCCCGTTTGCATTCCCTCCCCACTTTGTGTGTTTGCTACTTCCTGGCATCCTTATCATATAGTAATGAATCATGCTGGAGTGAAGATGTCGAATTGAGATACAGAGCGGGACTAGTTTGGTCAGTCCTTGGTAATCAGGCCTTTTAAC